CGTGTGCATGTGTGTGCATGTGCAAGCACACGTGTGCATGTGTGTGCATGTGCAAGCACACGTGTGCATGTGTGTGCATGTGCGAGCACACGTGTGCATGTGTGTGCATGTGCGAGCACACGTGTGCATGTGTGTGCATGTGCGAGCACACGTGTGCATGTGTGTGCATGTGCGAGCACACGTGTGCATGTGTGTGCATGTGCGAGCACACGTGTGCATGTGTGTGCATGTGCGAGCACACGTGTGCATGTGTGTGCAAGTGCGAGCACACGTGTGCATGTGTGTGCATGTGTGTGCATGTGCGAGCACACGTGTGCATGTGTGTGCATGTGTGTGCATGTGCGAGCACACGTGTGCATGTGTGTGCATGTGCGAGCACACGTGTGCATGTGTGAGCATGTGTGTGCATGTGCGAGCACACGTGTGCATGTGTGTGCATGTGCGAGCACACGTGTGCATGTGTGTGCATGTGCGTGCATGTGCGAGCACACGTGTGCATGTGTGTGCATGTGCGAGCACACGTGTGCATGTGTGTGCATGTGCGAGCACACATGTGCATGCGTGTGCATATGAGCACACAAGTACACATGCGTGCATGTGTGCGCACATATCTAAATACCAATGACAATTTATGACTTCAAATTCCTTCATCATTAGAGATCAGTAAGCAAAATTTTATTGATATACTCACTCTTCTTATTTAATTAGCAGATCACATTCATCAATCAGGAGAAATCTTACACATAGTTAAAAGGTATTTGTAATTTTCTCAATGCACTGTGTTAATGTTATTTCTATTACTATTTACACAACTAAACGTATTTACATTAATAATATCATTATGCGAGGAATATTTCTCAGCATTACTAAACTGTTCACTCAAAGCATTCATTCCAAAGTTCAGAGATCTTGTCTCCATGTGGGTGTTCCAAGCTTAGATATACTATTGACACACATAGTATTAAACTTGCCACTTTCTCTTGGACTGGAAGTATACGCTACCCTACTCTGGGTCAGCTGGAAAAGTCGATCTCTACTCCTCTCTATGTTAACCTGCACGCCCAATTTTAATTGTTCAAGTTTTCTGCAGTGATCATCTTCCAACTTTTTCTGTCTCTCTCTCTGCTCTTTCAGGTACTTGATATATTCCTCATCTTTCTTCCTAAAGTTTAACCTACTATTGGCATTATATAATTTTTTCTGTAGTAACTTTTCTTCCTGTTTCCTCTGGTTTTCTACTGTTCTTGCTAGTTCCTTCTGGTGGCAATACTCTTGAAGTTGCTTAGCTATGATTTTTCTTTCTTCTCGGGTATAAGACTGAGGCTTCACTTTTCCCAAACTACTCTTCTCAACCTTCACCTCTTGACCCATGTCACTTTCCCCCTTCAAATCACTCCTTCCCCGTGAGGCCTTCCAGAGGGCAAGGCGTTGGTTTCTCTCCTCTCTTTCCCTTTTCAACCTTTCTTCTTTTGCTTGATTTTTTGCCTGCAATTCCTTCTCTCTATCCTTCTGTTTCTCTGCAATCTTCCCTTCCTCCTCTATCCTTTTCAGTTCTCTTTCCTGCTTCCACTGTCCTAATTTCTCTCTCATTTTGTTTCTCTCTAGGAGGTAATTATCATAGAGTACAAGATGATCATCAATCTCTGATTCTGTCTTGTATGCTAGAACTCTTATCCACTCTTCCCTTCTTCGCTGCTTCCCCTTGAATTTATGATAAACCTTGATGAAGACTTGATGATCACGTTCTTCCCAATGATGCTTAAACTGCGGCATGGCCAGCGGCATTTCATTATCTATTTTCCTCTGCACTGAGTTAGGTTTCTGAGCACTGCTTATTACACCTATGCTTGCATGATCTTCTCCTTGTCTGTCACACTGAATCAAGTTACTTTTCAGAGGAGCATTAGTGGCCCGCACTCCAGCATTTTGCGTGCCCTCTAAATAGTTGCGATCTTCGCTTAGGCTCTCTCTCAGGGCCCTAATATCTTTTGAAAGTTGCTCTTCCTGTGCTTCTAGGTATCCAAACCTACTCTGGCCACTGCCCTTGAGCGTCTTAAAACAATTTCTAATCTGTGCAACTTTTGTCAAAATGCTCTCTATATCCCTCATTTTAGAGAAATTAACAGAGAGTGCAGCATCAGCATCTGCCACTGAGAGGGCACTAACCCTGCCCTCTAGCTGCTCCAACTCACCCTTGAGGCCCAGCAGCTGCTCCTTCAACAGGGCGCTGGGGTCTCCGTCTTCCCTGACCTCAGAGAGCCAACTCGGCAAAGACTCACGAGGCGTTCTCTTGATCCCCATAGATGTCTCCTCGGCGTGAATGATGCCACACTGGCCGCCCACACCCACCCACGCCCCCTCGCCGCCCTCGCCCACCCCGCCCGCCGCCCCTGCCCTTCTCCACAGCACCGCCACTTCGCCCTTGAGACGCTGGATAGCACTTTCTTGACTTGCGAGGGCCATCGGGGGGTTTTGGAGGCGAAATCACGCAGATCGGCCGCGAGAAGCTTCGACTTTGAAAATATCCGTCCGCTTTATGGAGTTTATTAGAGAAAACGGGTCCTCCTCCAACCCTTCCACGACAGCTCGCTAGACCACCTATTACGCCTAGGATTCCCACCTTAACTAATGGTTCACTCGCCTCAACACAGTCATAGACAGGACCTCGAATCTCTAAAGTTGAGAGGCGATGCTCCTATCCAACGTGATAAAGTACGGTGGTGGTTTTAAAGGGAAAAATCTGAAAATAGCTCACCCACGTCGCGCCTCCTCCGAGCTGCCAGCAGTCATGTGCGGGGCGAGGGAGCGTGCGTCTAAAATCACAAAAATAGAAACCCATGTATAATGTATCTCAAAGTAATCTTTAAAACTTTTAAATTTTCAGAAATAATGTTTATTTATTTCCGGCACTTAGGAGCGTTTTCCCACTTCTAAAAATGATCGATTTCTTCGTATTATACGCACAGACAAACAGTGGCTTGTCACGGACTCTTTAATTTAAGGGATATTTATAATTTTTGTATAATTATACTTCCGATAACATTACACAGAACATACTTACCTTTCTCTAACCAACCAGTTTATACCACGAATTCCACATTAAACATTGCGAGTCACCGGCAAGTTTTCACGAGACTCAACAAGCAATCACACATTCCTTCCTTTTATTTGCTGCATCAAATATTCTTCAATTCACGCCCTTAAGTATTCCCAGTCGGTCAAAACCACCATAGCAATGAAGGGGCATAATTTTCCAAAGTTTAGATATAATCCGACAATGTTTCTTTAGATGAAAAAAATAATTTCATGGAAGTAACAAGGACACGTGTAGAACAATCGCAGCTATAGAACAGGTGAATTGTCTTTAGAAGATAATTGTCACTAATTGCATGTTATTATGATACCATGTAATTGCCATAGGAAAATGATGATTCAGCATGTAAATACTAGTTGCAACCATTTTCTCAAGAGAATATACAGTGTGTGTGAGTATAAGTGTGTATGTATAAATACACATACATACATACATATATACATATATATATGTATTTTTCTATGTTGTACACATATATTCGTATATAAACATACAGGTGTGTGTTTGTGTGTGTGTGTGTGTGTGTGTGTGTGTGTGTGTGTGTGTGTGTGTGTGTGTGTGTGTGTGTGTGTGTGTGTGTGCGTGTGTGTGCGTGCGCGCGCGTGCGTACGTGCCTGCCTGCGTATGTGTGAGTGGGTGCATTTCTTCATAAATAATCGTTTGAATTCATTAAAGGGATTTGGTCCTTACGGATATAACTTTATAGATAGGTGGACATACCTATATTCACATACATAAATACATACATATATATATTTGTGTGTGTGTGTGTGTGTGTTTGTGTGTATTATATGTATGTATGTATGTATGTATATATATATATATATATATATATATATATATATATATATATATATATATATGATATATACGTACAACTATGCGTATTTATAAAGACAGATAGACAGACAGAGCGATATATATAAATGTGTATATATATGTATATATACTCATATACATATATATAAATATATATACATATACATATATACATGTATTTATGTGTGTATGCACTGTATATGCTGTATGAAAATTTGTTATTAATTTATATGTAGAACAGCTATTTCCCCTGAACAGTTTATATCAGAACTGCACCCTTAATGTTTTATAATATCTGTATAAATTTCGAAATTAATTTTTATTGATATTTATCATTTAATTATGGTTATTAACAATATCATCCTTAAAATCATTGTTACTATATTATCTTTATCATTACTACCATTACTATCATAATTACCATATCATTATCACTACTGTCAGCTTTATAGTTTATTTGTTTGTTTGTTTTGTTTTTGTGTTGTTTTTTGCTATTGATAACATCAACGCTAATGGTCCGTTAGCTTAGAATACCATTCTCTCTGGCAAAGAATAACGCATGCAAATATTTCGAAAGCATGAACACACTTAACTGAGAAACTAGGCAATTCCTTGTAATACGAGAGAAAAAAATCTTCAGAGTAATCATTTTGGGTTATGTTAACATAAATCTCTTATTTTAGAGCACGTTCATTTGATCGGTATTTTCCCCCAAACCATCCCAATCCGTAAAAGAGTACATTAACCACCATTACGCCATTGCAAGCTAACTACCATTCATCCATAAACTCATTTCCCTAGGCTTTGCAACCTTGCCCTCTGCACGTTCAGACATTCAATGTAAACAAACAGCGGTATAAACATATCTTCTGGCACCCAGCCCTCGCCATCGTACTGGTATAGCAGAATGTGTATTGGTGGTGTAGTCCGGGTTTTGGTAGTTGAGAAGAGAGATTAAATGACAGTGATTTATTTGCGGTTTATGGGGATAATGATGAATAGTTTACGTTATATTTATGTGAATGTTATATATGTCTATTTATATATATATATATATATATATATATATATATATATATATATATAT